AAATAGAATAATTTGCAGGCGAAAAAGATTTGTATTCAAAAATGTGAAAATAGGAAATATGTTCTTCTAGTGGAACGTGAGCTGAGTATGGCGAAGATAAATCAAGGCAGCTAGAAGTTTAAATTGCTACAATATCAAGCTCTATAAACTTTCCAAGCTGCGATTTCAGTTCTTTTATGTGATCGGTAGTGCTTTGACTGCGAAAACGGTGCACACTAAGTGGAAACCAAAAATATTTTTGACTGTTGAATATTCGCTGTAACTTTTTTTTATTATTATGATCACTATAATCTTTTTAGCAACAAATTTTCAAGTTCTCGGCGAAATGTTTGTATGCAATTTGTTACATCATCAATAATTAATACCTTACGCAAAGATTAATGGTGAGGCGCGAAAATTCAGACTCACATAAATTATATCCAAATAGCAAATTTTAAGAAATTAAATGTTAGAGAAAAGAAAAATAAAAGAAAAATGCGTTGTGAGGTATCAGTTCAGCAACAAAATGTATAATAAAATGTAGCACAAGCAATAATAAACATTTTCTGATAGAAAATTGATCGTACAGCGAAAGATAGCTAATAGTACAATTTGATGGCAGAAAAATACACAAGCAATCATCAAAATTTTTACGGCAAATACTATGAAATTGCGATCATAAACAGACCCTAAGAGACTGCGTAAATATTAAAATTGCTCAGTCGCGTTGGCAATAGTAAGATTAATCGTTTACATTTGGGAAAGATGCTAGCATTGATTTGTAAAATTGCTTGACAATGTAGAGGGTGAGGTAAGGCTATACCTACAATAGTAAACTTGATATACCGTATATAATATTATTGTACATATAAGGTCAATAGGAATTGTCTGATATTTTCCATTATAACTTGTACCGCTTTGTTTGTACTGAAAGGATCAGTATTATAACTGAATGTTTGATTTTGTTTATGAAAAATGCGGAAATGAAATGCAGATTAATAATTGAACCTTGTACTACTTCACTCACAATCAGTATACTATCTTTCGGTGCTTTTTTGAGAGCTATAATAGCGTGAGTATAGCAACAGAATACCAAAATGTACATTACGAGTGGATATTGACTACCTAACGTAGTAGGTAGAAATTTCATTATATGAAATGTCTGGAAATTTAGATTTAGAGTAGTTGCCTACAGAATTTTAAGATCTTTAAAATTTGAATAAATTGAATATCTGTAAAGGAAATATGGAATTTTTATGTACAAATCTACGAACGTGTTTAGCAGAAAAATTTACGAAAATTGAGCCTAAAAAATTGTTGCCGTTCAAACCCTTTATATAGGTATTAGGTAAAGTAAAAAGTTCGTTCGGTTTTTATCTAAGAGGTGGCGTTATTTTCCATAGTATTAGTGTTACGTGTCGCATCATGTCATACTATACGGCGCTGAAAACATGTTTATTCGCGCTAAAAGTTTGTCTTTGACACTTTTTCGATTGATTAACTCAGTACGTTGTGAGCGCTCGTCAAAGATAGACACCAACAAAGAGAAAATTCGCTATATTTTACAATTTCGCTAAAGCGACTGAAAAAATTAATTTAGTTTATGGGCCCGATACTGTAAACGAACGTGTAGCACAAAAGTGGTTTGCTAGGTTCCGTTCCGGTAATTGCGATGTCAAAGATGCACTACGCGTCGGAAGGCCTGTCGTAGAAAATTGCGATAAAATCATGGAAATAGTGGAAATAGACTGTCACGTGAGCACTTATTTAATTGATGAGGAACTAAAGATAAGCCAGAAAACCGTTTGGAACCATTTGCATAACCTTGGATTCAAAAAGAAGCTCGATGTTTGGGTGCCACACGAACTAACGCAAAAAAACATGATGGACCGAATTTCCATCTGCAAATCGCTGCAGAATCGCAACAAAATAGACCCGTTTCTGAAGCGGATTGTGACTGGCGATGAAAAATGGGTCACTTACGACAACATCGAGCGCAAACGGTCGTGGTAAAAGCTGGGGAAGCGGCCCAGACGGATTGGCAAGGAATCATCTACTACGACCTGCTCCCCTATGGCTAAACGCTCAGTTCGGCCCTCTACTGCCAACAACTGGACCGCTTGAAGGCAGCACTCATCCAGAAGAGGCCATCTTTGATCAACAGAGGCCGAATCGTGTTCCATCAGAACAATGCCAGGCCACACACGTCTTTGGTGACGCGCCAGAAGCTCCGGGAGCTCGGATGGGAGGTCCTAATGCACCCACTTTATAGTCCGGACTTGGCACCAAGTGGTTACCATCTTTTCCTGTCCATGGCGAACGCGCTTAATGGTGAGAAGTTAGCCTCAAGAGAGGCCTATGAAAATTGGCCCTCCGAGTTTTTTGCCAATAGGGACGCAGCCTTCTACAAGAGGGGTATAATGAAGTTGGCATCTCGTTGACAACAAGTTTACGAACAAAACGGCGCATATTTGACTTAAATCGGAAAAATACACACAAAGTTATCATCTTTTGAAAAATCAATAAAAAACCGAACGAACTTTTTACTTTACCTAATATTTTTCAAGTAATATTTATTCTCAATTAAGCTTGTTGTGAAATATGTTTTTGCTTTTACATTGTCAAATTATATATATATACAATATACTATATCCAATAATATAATTAAACTAATATTTACAATGTAATTGTGCTAAAACGCTGATAGTTAATTTAATGAACAATTTTATGTATTTCAATAAAACAAAAAAAAACAACAAGCAATTAAAGTCACATTTTAGCTCATTATAAAATCCTGTAAACTCTCTCCGAATTAGTTTTTTTTTCAAAATAAGTATCAAAACGTGTTTTTAAAATTCAGCACCAAGTAATTAAAAAATGGCCGGCAATATCTACTATGAAATTAGTTAAACTTTCCTACCGGGCCTCAATATTCAAATTACACCCATAAAGAACTATATGGCATATCGAACAAAGCGCATTGCAGTTTAGTTGCTGCAGCATACAAAGTTCTCCTGTTTGATGTGGCAAAGTGTTACTAGTGCACGCCGCAGATAATGGTGTCAAGCTGTGAGCTAGGTCATGAACGCTGAGAGGAGCATATATGCAAACAAGAGTATATGAATGCATACTTTGTATACAATGAACGCTTCCATCATTATAATGAATAATGCAAAATAGATGCAAGTTGAAGCACATACACTCACACACACACATACAAAAACTCACGGCAATGCACCAAAAATCATTCAATCGGTGTTGCAACAAATATAATAGGTATGTATATATGTATATACTGCAGCGCAGGAAACCTCATTTTCCACCAAAAATTCATACCATAATACCACACACATGCCGCATGAGCAGCTTCCGTCCGCTCGATTGCATTTGCGCTGACAAATATAAAACAACAATAAAGTACTCGTGTGCGAAGAAAAATTCTCAAAGTTGGGCATAATAGCAGCGCCGATGGCATGTAGAATGGGGGAGGTGGAGGAAAGTGAAGTGGGGATGCAAAATGTTGCAGCTTCTGCACTGTGTGTGTATGTGTTTGTGATAGATAGACTAAATATTTACATGCGCTCATTCATAAACATTTTGTATGCGATTTTCGCTGACTGATGATGTGGTGCTGCCAACCACCATCTCCCCCTCTCCACGAAATTTACAATGCATACACGACTGTAAATAAGTTTCAGCTATAAATAATCGTTGAATGTTTCGTCGCTTGAACGCTTGAATGCACCGCCGCTACACCGTTTCTGAATGCAACACGTCCGTTCCGAGCTTTGTACGACATGAAAATTTTATTTCTCTTCATTTGCTGCAAAATTTGCTTCTATTGTTGAAAATCGTAAAAAAAAGAAAATCATAATTTTTTCATGCAAATAAAAGGCAAACGCTTGTTGTGTGCTAGAAATGAGTTGCAACCAACGCGATTGACCTCTTTACTTTGAATTTAGTTGCCGAAATCATTAATCATAAATGTGCGAAAATAAAGCGGCGTCTTAAAAATTTTTAGCAAATAAGCAAAATTTATGCATTTCGGCAGAGCCCCTGCATTTTATTATACATATTATTATTATTCCTTCTTTATTGTTTGAATTTCTGCTTTGCCAGCTGAGTCGATTGTTTGCTTTTTCGTTAATTTTTTCGTGTTTCTTTAAATTTTTTTTTGTACAATAGTATTTTTTTTTTTAATATTGAGTCTAATGTTTCCATTTTCGCTGTCTTTGTTTTGGTTTTTTTTATTGTGTGTTTTTTTTTTAATATTATTTTTGGCAGCCAAATAATGCATACTGAAAAAATTTGGCTGAAGCCAGCGTAAATTGGCCTCTTAAGTATCCTATTTTACATAAATAGAGTGCGTGCGCATGGAGTGTCGCCAGTGTTGAGTGTCGCCTGCATTGTTGAGGTTGACGTAATTAATAATAAGAAGCGATTGGCATTTTGGCACAGATTTCAATGTCTCTTTGTGCATTCTTTTTGTTAAGACGCTAATTAATTTATTTATGACTTTAAAAGACTTTTGCAAAGAGTTGCCAATTTTGAATGATAAGTTTATTATTGCTATTAAATAGTTTATACACAAATATCAGGAAAAAGTTTTTTTTTCGTTTCCATTTTCCTTACGGATCTGTAGATCTTTTATATGTTAACAATTGTGCCATCTAAAAGAAGCAATCGGTCAGAAACGGCCAGCTTTAGCAGAGGAATTGTGTTCCATCAAAACAACGCCAGGCCATACACATAAATAGTGACACGCCCAAAGCTTCGGCAGCTTGATGGGAGGGTTTTTACGCATCTGTCTTATAGTCCGTACCTGGCAGCTTTGCTGGTGAAAAACCGCTTCAAGAAAAGCTTGTGGAAATCGACTGTCCCGGTATTTTGTCAATAGAGACAAAGTTTATACTGAAGTGGCATTATGAAAATAGTTTCGAAATGGCAACAATTTATTCAACAAAACTGTGCATATTTGACTTGAATCGGTTCAATTCAATCATGCTAAATAAAACATTCGGTTATATTGCAAAAATAATGGATTCTTGTTTTTCTACACCTTATACATTGGATTGAGGTTTAAAACTTTAATTTATAATCATCTTAAACGAAAAAATTGCTATAGAGATAAGTCAGGGAACTGAAGTAATTAGTTAATGACACTTCTGAGAGTTTCGTTAACTACACCAAGTAATCGTTAAATGTTTGGCTTCTTTTCCTATTTTGGGATACTTTGAAATTTTGCAGGATAAAAATATATTATATTAGCAAACCCAGTTTACTAATGATCTTCCTTCTATATTTGAGATTAAGGTGCAAAACTATTTTGGAAAACTGCTGAATCTCTTCGCCAACTGGTGAGCCAGTATACACATTTTGAAGCCTTTTATCGTGTCACAAATTATGTTTAATTTTGATTTAAATAGTTCTGAGCCCGTCCAAAGAGTTATACCACATCTTATACCGAGTAAGAGTTCTGGTAGCAGACAATCTGAAGTTCTATCTCGAGAGAAACATGGTTGATTTATTATGCAGCCTGTCTATTCAGGCTTTTGTACCTATTATCGAGCATGGCGTGATTGTGACCAACATTTTCAATTGGACTTGCGCTGAGTGATGTCAACTCTCAAACATTCGTTTTATCAACACATGTATACCTATAAGAAGTGTATACTGATTTTCAAAGTACTGGATTATTCTTAGAACGATTGTTCGTCCAAATTTCTTTATTTTATTTGAAGTTACTTACCTAATGTATTTATATACTAAAGCTCGAATTAGTCTTCTAGAAGCCTTTACTTTTTTTAGTTTGCCGTAAAATGTGATAATAATATTGTAATAATACTCAGATCGCCCATAAATTATATTTCAATTAATGTTTATCATTTTATTTTTCATTTCCGACGGGTTTCAATCTACTATGACTTATTTTATTTTTCTCATTTTCAAAGTATTCTTGCACTGGTCTATGCATAAGTTTTTTTGTCGACAACTTTCTTGTGAACTTTCCACATTTTTAAGAAGGAAATTTTTGATCAAAAACTACTGTATAAATACTACACAAAAAGTTAGAGTAGCTACTTTTACTATAAAAAGTTACATCATTTAGTCAAACTATTGTATTTTGAATTGAGTTAGTACGGAATAATCGCATATGTTTTAGAAGATATCATGGAATTCGAAAAAAAAAATACTTCATTGAAGACTCCATCGACACTCGTAAATGTTTATAGCACTAATATCGAATAAAGCAAGATAACTCTAAATCGACTCTATATTAAATGAAAGAAAGAACTGAAGCTTTTATTATCAGTTTTATAGATTATTATTATTAATCGCTGAACTTGGCGTCCTTTAACTATTTTCGGCTTGCCGAAACTCCTTCCGTTCTGCACAAAAAAACGCACCTTGATCAATCTGAATAACAATAAATTTGTTACAGAAATTTGTTAAGAATCATAAAAAGTAATGAATACTTGAATTAATCGTTCGTTTACTTGTATGCGATGAGATGTAAAAAGTTCAGTTCTAACTTAGCGGCACCAGGCGTTAGCGCTTATATAATATGTCTATGTCTACATTTATATCGTAATTTCATTTTGCGCCTTCTCATCCATTTTATTACCCACTTCGTAGCTCATTCATATATATTGTTTTTGGTCAAATTATTTTTATAAAGCATATTACAATAATTGATTCGCTTTTTAAAATGTTATTTCATAATTTTGATAAGGATTAATAAATTTCTGCCTTTCATAATACATGCTTATCTTTAGCCCAAAAATTTCATATATTTCGGTTGTATCTACCAACCTATATCAGATTTTATACTATTTGCCCTAATAAATTGTAATTCATTTTCATTATAGGTAAGTGAGCAGAAACCATTTGTCGGGGTCAACCAACTTTTATGCGAATTTCTAAATAATTGGCACGTCTTCCACAACTGTATAAATTTATTTACTCGGAGTTAGAGGTTTTTTTATTAAGAGTTAGAGGTAAATTAATGGTGAACTGGCACGCGTTAGCCATTAACGCTGAAAGCAACGGTTACTTACGTAAGAGGATGGAAGTGAAAAAAAGAGATAAAATGCAAAATAAAAGCAAGGCCACTCAGGAAGTTCATAGGTCAACGACGCATTGCTTGCAGAATAATAAAAAGTGGTAGGATATGTTATTATCATAGGACTGAAGAGTTTTTGACTTTGTAGTTTTAATGCCCCGGTTTAATATGTTGCTGAAAGAATTGAAGCTTTGAGCACAAAATTGCCACCTTGTAATAGCTTTAAGGAAATTATGAAGGTATGTACATATGTACATATATACATATTTCTTACACAAAATTTATTAAAATGTTCAACGGTCCATGCCTAAACTCGATAACTCTAGCGAGAAGTATCTTAATGAAAATATTGGTATAAGTTTGCTGTTAGTAGAAGAAATATTTTACTGGTGATATTAAAATATTCTGATAGCAAGGGAAATATATGAGGCGATTTTGCCTATTTTTTGATGATATAAGGTCATTGGACGGACCAAGCTTTTTCGTTTCCTGCTGAAGCTTATGTTTCTATTGATAATCCAAAAAAAGCTGATGGGGTTCGGAACCGACAGTTGCCAGGGTATAAAAAATACGAAGAGTAAGATATCAATGGATTAAAAAAAATTGGTGTATCCTGTTCAACTGCTAGAGAAGAGGTGCAGTGAGCTTTTTTATGGATGGACGGAAGCTAAGTGAAAAAATGGGAGCAGGAATCTTCTGTCGGGAGCTAGCGATCAACTCTAGCTCGAGACTACTAGTCCAGTGCAGTATCTGTCAACCGGATGTGGCTGCAATAGCTATACTGCTCCGAAGTGCAGCTTCTTTTAGAGAGGTGCATTCTCTTTGTTAGTAGAGCTGAAATACTGGCCTTGATGAGCTCACTGACAGCGGCTGAAGTTTAGTCAAGGAGTGTTTGCTCTCTTTAACAGTACCATCAAGCTACTTCATTATCTCATTTGGGAGCCGAGTACAGCGAAATCGACGGAAACTGCAAAACTGATGAGCTTGAGAGGGCATCCTTACCCCAATTTCATCAGATTGAAAACGAGTTGGTACTCTGCTATCATCTTACGCTCTAGCATTGGGTTTATGAACCTCTTGAGGGTTCGAAAAGCGCCGGACAACAACCAAAACCTTTGCGACTGCAATAGCCATTGGTACAGAGTGGAAGGCAAGAGGTGATCTGAACTACTTCCTTGTAGGAAGGCTTATCACACCGCTATGGTTGCTGTTCTGACTGGACACTGTCCAATAGATTCACACGCAGTAAGGCTACATACCCGTCTCTCGTCAGATGCAAATCGCCAAAGCTCTATGGAGGAGAGCGAAGTGGATTTTTTACTCAACTGTCTACCATTTGCCAGACTGTGACTAAGGCTCTCGGTAAATAAATCTTTAGCAAACCTGACGAAGTGGGATTCCGCGATACCTGTGTTGCGAAGATTAGCCTTTCGACCCAATCTAATCGTCTATAAAATTTCTTTGCTACAGAGGATTCTGACTCTGAAAGTAGGATTCTTAGACTGGGTGCTGAACTTATGTTTTAGAGACCTTATTGCATCAAAAGGTGTAAATTATCTTACGTTCCTTTCTAACTTATTCGTCATAATAATTACACGTATATACACTTAGTTACTTAAATAAAAAAAAGTAATAAATATTTCTGCGACTGTTACTAAGTGAAATCGCATGATGATGTTAACAGCTGAGCAACCAAGTAAACCTTTCGCTTCCAAAGCGTACGGAAACAAGAGAAGAGAGAAAACGGGAAAATAAAATGTAGCATTTTTTCATATTTAATGCAACATCACGCGTTTGCCAGCTTCATTTAACACGCGGGTGTGGTACGGGGCGATTCTTGTAAATTAAAAGATGGGAATGAAGCAAACTGAGAACATCCTTCACAGCTGCCACAGCTTTTACTTTCGCATTTTTCTTGTATTCCTACTAGTTATTTTTACGCTTGCCGACCGCAGTGAACACGCTTTTTATGAGGCATTCTATTTTTGTTGTGTGTTTCGCTTGGCTTTACTCCAGTTGCCATGAGGTGTTTTATTTCTAACTTTTTTTTAACACTTTTCTATTATTTTTATCTTCCTTTATTTCTACATTCCTGCAGCACTTGCGGTAACTGCAGACGCATAAAAAATGATTTTGCAGCAACAACTTATTTGTTATCCCATCACCCGTTGGCTGCCGGCTGCCACTGACATTGAACTTTGTGGCTTTCAGTGGTGCTGCTACTGTTGCTGGTGCACATTGTTGCCGCTCGCGTTTCCGCGCAGCTCATTTACACGAGATGACAGAAGTCAGCGGTGGCACACGGAATCTGCCGGCAGCTGTTGGCGCCCTCACTCAATTGCAACAATGTTTGTTTGTACGTGTGTATGAATTTGCAATATGCCTTCATGTCCGCCATTGTTGTTCTTGCTGTCAAATACTCGCTGCAATATACAATTGCAGCAGACACAGTTGTTTACATTGTTATTGCAGAGTTAGTAAATAATTTGTAACATTTGTGGTGTTTACGAAAAATATCGTCTTTCATTTACTGTCATCTGCACACTCGCAATTTCGCTTCTAATTAACTTTTCCTGCTTGTCAACAGCAAAAAATAAAATAAATATTAATTTCATTACAGAAAAGTTAAAGAATTAGAAACAAGTAATTTTCAAACCTTTTGCAATGGAAGTAAATATACAAAATAGAAGCGGATAAAAATATATGAATGCTGGAGACGTGTACAGTTTTGTCAACTCTTAATTGGTTCGGAAAATGCTATAAATCAAAATGACAAACAAAGCAGTGTTAAGGTCACGTTCTCATGACATTGAAGGACCCAAGGCGAACGCGACATAGTTTTGGACAGTTGTGACATAACAAGCGTCACTGTCAAGCAAGTAATCAATATCAATATATGTATGATGAACAACAAATGCATACATAAATAATACACGTATGTCTACCGTGAGCCACAAAAGTGTTCATTAAAAATGATATTTTTCCATTTTATTCTTTTCATGACGAATTTGCGATATTATCCAAATTGGTGCAACAAATTCGCTTGCTTGTTTCCTACTATCCAGTCATTTTATTGATAAGTGCCACGCAAGTGTCGCAGAAATTGTAGCTGTGTGTATTAAAAAAAAAACAGTGTTTCAGTAGGTTTTGTTTTCAAATTTGAAAACAAAGAAATTTGCCGAAAATTACTACAGAAGCTGTCTTCCTCCACAAAAATATCCTTGAAACGACTAAAATTGCCGGGAGCCATAAAAAATGTGAGGGTGTTTCAGATCGATATTTCAAAAACTGTTGCGTAGACTAGTTTGCGTATATGCAGGCAGACGGACATAGCTAAATCGAATCAGCTCATCATGCTGATAATTTATGTATATATTAAATTTATAGGGAGGGCTGGCCAACTTAATATACACTGTTTAGGGCTCCAGGACAGGGAAATCACATGTATAGATTGCTCTGCACATTAGGGTGGGCCAAAAAAAAATTTTAAGTTAAAGTCCAACAGAAAATCATAAAAAACTACGAATAACTTGAAATAAGTTGACTCAACCAAAAAAAGTTTCAAGCCTTTTTTGTAGATCGGTTAATTTCCTTTAAAAATATGTGTTGATTCTCGCTTAACAATTATATGTTTGTGTACAATAAAAATCCAAAGAAAAAAAACAAAATTTCCTGTGGTATTTATATGGGAAATCGAAAATATCAACGAGGCACCTCTTAATATTAATATCAAGAGCTCAAACTTTACCAAAATTTTTTATCATTTCGGATGAGATTTTTATGGTAACTAAGAAAAAAAAATTAAATTTTTTTTGGCCCACCCTACTGCACATTCGCCTCACATAAGTCCTGTTGATAATCTGTGGAATATATTAAAGAAAAGAATTTTTATGCGAAATTTACTCCTCAAAAACGTTGAAGAACAGCGGGTAGCCGTCAATGAAGCCCACAAATTTGAAATAGTTTAATTAAAAGTATGTCTCAGAGGATGAATCTTATTAGTAAAGCTAAGGGCGGCCATATTAAGTACTAAAAGTGAAACGGACACAGGAAACCCAGGAAATAACGAAAAGCGCCTAGTGATTAAAACACTAGGTTTATCTATGTATATAGTCATGTACCAAAAGGCAGACAAATTCGTCTTTATGTAGACACTTCCACGTCTGAAATAAAATGTTCCTAAGTGCTTGGTCCTAAAGACTAAACAGGTCGTAATTGGAAGAAAATAATCATATACTAAAAATCTGAAACAGTATAGCATTATTGCATATAATGCCTAAGGAATTTGTGTATATTTGAGTTAGCTTAGTGAATAAAATAAGGATAACTTAAGTAATAACATCATAAAAAAGTTTCTTTTTTTGGTCTTTTATTGATTTTTCAAAAGATGATAACTTTGTGTACATTTGTCCGATTTAAGTCAAATATGCGCCGTTTTCTTCGTAAGCTTGTTGCCAACGAGATGCCAACTTCATTATACCCCTCTCGTAGAAGGCTGCGTCCCCATTGGCAAAAAACTCGGAGAGCCAATTTTCACAGGCCTCTCTTGAGGCCAACTTCTCACCATCAAGCGCGTTCGCCATGGATAGGAAAGATGACCCATTTTTCATCGCCAGTCACAATCCGCTTCAGAAACGGGTCGATTTTGTTGCGATTCAGCAGCAATTCGCAGATGGAAATTCGGGCCATCATGTTTTTTTGCGTTAGTTCGTGTGGCACCCAAACATCGAGCTTCTTTTTGAATCCAAGGTTATGCAAATGGTTCCTAACGGTTTTCTGGCTCACGTGACGGTCTGGTTTCCACTATTTCCATGATTTTATCGCAATTTTCAACGACAGGCCTCCCGATGAGTGGTGCATCTTTGACATCGAAATGACTGGAACGGAACCTAGCAAATCACTTTTGTGCTAAACGTTCGTTTACAGTATCGGGCCCATAGACTAAATTAATCTTTTCAGTCGCTTTGGCTGCGTTTTCGCCTTTATCGAAGAAAAATTGTAAAATATAGCGAATTTTCTCTTTGCTGGTGCCCATCTTTGACGAGCGCTCACATCGTACTGAGTCAATCAATCGAAAAACTGTCAAAGACAAACTTTTAGCGCTAATAAACAAGTTTTCAGCACCGTATAGTAAGACATGATGCGACACGTAACACTAGTACTATGGACAATAACGCCATCTCTTGGATAAAAACCGAACGAACTTTTTTCTGGACCAATATTATAAAAGAATTTTGTACGTACCTCTTCTAACTAAGATTTTTTAATTTAAAAATAGATTTTAGTTTAAATTTTGATATAAGTTTTATACACTCTTTGAGCAGCGTCTCGACCTAAAACTTTCAATTGAAAAGGATTGTAATTTGATTATTTAAATTTTTACCCGTTTACGAAATAAATCATAGTTTCAACTAGTGTTTTTTACTAAACAAAGCTCATTTTTTCCATACAATATCTATTGTCGGTTCAGTTCAACACTAATGGTGGTGCTATATTTATGTACGAGGTTATGTACAATAGAAAAAAAGTATGTTCTCATTTTTAAATTATATATGGTAGATAGATATCTACGCCTGGTGAATAATGCTTATAGGAAAATATGTATGCAAATAGCAAAATTATTCAAGCAGAAGTCATGACCCATTTGCAATTGATATTGAACAATACTGGAGATGCTTATCAGCAAAAATTGCATATGACGACTATACAAATTATCGCTGATGTGTGCTACACTAATACATAATACATGTATTGTAGATACCGACATTGTGCTTTATGAGGTCATATAAAAGGACAATAACCGCATTTATACCAGTGCCAGCATCGATTAATTTGGCAAAAGGAATATTTTTTTGTTAATCAAATTTATATGTAAATATACAAGTAAGTACATACATGCCAGAATAATGAAGAAATATTTTATTAAATGCAAATACATCTGTTTTCTGAATTTAAGGTTGTTTTTAGGCTCGTATTATACATAGATGGAAATGAGTTTTACAAGATCTGTGTTTAAGTTTTTTATAGATTTTCAGCAGAAAAAAAACGATCATATGATTTCCATAGCTTATTTCCACAGTAATTTGGTCTTGCTTTCGGTAGTTTTGGTGGGCTATTTAAAAGCCACAGGTTTGATTTTATTCTCATTTCTATAAATAAGCCTTTTTAATATTGAAATTTGCGAAGTAATCATAAATTGTCTGTATATAATATGCCAATTTCGATTTGGTCTTTACAGGAGGTCTCTCTCTTTCTCGGTTTACTTAAAGCTCTAAAATGATTTAGAGTTCATTAGCTTTCCTTGCAGCCCAAGACTGACATTGCTTTCGAGTTTAAGACGTACTATAAGATAAATGAAATCAACGACTTCCAAAATAGGATATTCATGAACCAGACAAGATAGAGTGAACGGAACTAATAGAGTGGGGGTCCGCCAATAATATCATGATTCGTATATTATATAGCGAAAGAAATGAATTGAACAAGCACCGACTGACGTAATAGAGATGAGGTTTTTATATACTATCTTATACATATAATACATAAGTGACTACTAACTTATTATAACTTCAACTTGTATGTTTGCAATGATCTTTGTAACACTTAAAAGGAGACGTCGGAGACCCTTTTTAGTATATATACAAATAATCAGCGTGACGAGCTCAGCCGACTTAACCATGTTCGCAAGTCCGTCTATCTGGATATACGCGAACTATAGCTGCCCTACAAACTGAACGATTAAACTCAAGCCCTTGTACGGAAAACGGTTTTATTCATAAAAAAAAAAAAAAATTACAAATCGGGCAGTCTATAACATATACAACTGACCAATCAAACTCAATTCCTTGTATGCAAATTTGGTATATATTTATAGCCATCGCTATAATATCCGAACATATTGTTCAGATCGGCCCAATATTGCTTATAGCTGCCATTCGAACTGACTTATCAAAATCAAATGAAGATCTTTTATACTTTTTTATGCTACAAAAATGCACCTGTGAAGGGTATAATAGCTTCGGTGAAGCCGAAATTAAGGGTTTTTCTTGTTTTCATTTATAAGGCCATGAACTATAATATATATTTTTTATATTTTGCTTAAATAAAACTGTATATAAAATATATGTAACACTAATAAACATAACTATCTAAACTAAATAACTGTATATAAAATTCAATATTTCCTTCTTAAATTAAAGCGTAAAACACATTCACAATAATTTGGCAATTTAACCATACGCTCTACCAACACACCATTCACCAATACTATCAAGCTTCTATAGACATAGTGTTGTTTGCATTTGGATGAGACGCCAATGGGCATTAGATCCTCATATTTACAGGAACTGCCCTCATTTTCGCACTGCTCCACCAACACGCCCTGTCTATGGCGTTCATGCTGCACTACCAACACCCATTTGGACTCTTTTGTTTCAACACTTTTCGGATAAATGATGCGCGATTTGCTATTGCAAAAGTTCTCCTCCGCCTCCTCGTTCATGCGATTTGTCACATTGAAGGGTTGCATGAAATCGTCTTTGAAATATGAACTGAATTGCTCAAACTGCTGCGGATCGATCTTGTCTAGCTGTGAGGATTCCAAATAATTTGGCACATCAGTGCAGTATGACTGCCCAGCAGTGCGTTCTGCGCAGATAATATTCTCGCCGTTGTCATCTTTGCCAACAACCTCATTGGGATGGGCGCCTGAGGGTAGCGTACTGAATACCATCATACCGGGACCGACTTTGAAGATACTATCCAATTTACTAAGCACATCGTTAGCCCCATTCGGATCAGCGTGCGATTGTGGTCTGCTATTGGTTTTTTGCACTCTCAACAATAACGAAAACGCCGTTAATGTTAATAAAAATGTTAGTTTCATTGCCTTCATTGATTTTTGGAATTTAGATGTTGAATATCACTTTTATTTTAATACGATGTGTCTTCGCCGCTGAAAATTTTGTTGACTACTGAACACTAAAATAAAATTTCCAGCACAATATATATACACAAGGCCGAGTAAGGTGTACATGACTGAAAACTTCGAGTTTATATGTGCAGTACCTGTACAGTTTCTCTTTGTGCCTTAACCTTTCCGAAACACATCTTAAGGTAATTTCCATTGGGTTTTCCCAAATTATGGGTTACTTTAGGAGTGCGACGACAGCTGATGCACTGCGTTGTGTTCTCCCCTCTCCAAAAAAAAAACCTGAAAATATTGTCATTTCTGACCTTAACTGCATATGGATTTAGTGTTTGCATGACCGTATATACAGTCATTTGTTATGGGAAAAAACAAGTACGGCAAGATAAATTTCGGTTTAAAATAAAATTTTAAATATGCCACAAAATTCAGATAAGCTTCACAAATATTATTTCATCACCTGCAAAACATAAATCACCTGCAATTATGGGAATTGTCTTTAGAATGCCATTACTAAATAGAAAACCTAAAGTTTCCGATTTTCATAAATTTAATGTATACAATCTGAAATTGAAAATAAAAATCCATACTTCCCTTTATACCTTTCATACAGCATAGCAATGAAATGCTTCCGAAATATTCGCACGAACCTTTTTATTCGTTTTACAACAAAACAATTAAATCCTTTTTTAACTCCACCGGAATTTCCTAATCTGCTTCGGAAATAATCGCGCGAACTTTTTTACCTGACTGCACGGGAATTTCCTATTCTGCTTACTAAAAAATCGCGGAAACTTTTCTCGCTGCAGTCGCGATAACAGCAGATTTTTCTCCTCAGAGCGAGCTATATATTGAGCTAAAAATGGGCTCGAGGCATCAGTCATTAACACTGAAGTGAAAGCGAATAGACAGTTTAAGTTTTTTTTACTCAAAAAAGTAAGCCAGAGAATTTCACATTTAGAGCATTTCTATATTAAAACAAATAAGATGTCTGTAAAGTTGTCGTTATTGCTCACAATGGTTGCATTTTTCTTGATGCTTCGAAAAACCAATGGCAGACCACTGCCTAAAGCCGATGCACCCAAAGATGTGATCAATAAACTGCAGAGTATCTTTAAAGTTGGCGAAGGTATTATGGTATACAACACAGGAATAGCAAGAGAAGAACTTGAGGATGACGAAATTGTTTGCGCCGAACGTAGAGCTGGAAAGTCATATTGTAAAGAGGTTGAAAATTATATGGAGGCTACACGTCTAGACAAAATCGACCCAGAACAATTTGCTAAATTCAAGGAATATTTCAAAGACGATTTGGAACCAGCACAAATGGTGGCAACCCGCATGGATTTTGGAAAGTTGCCATGTAATAGTAGAACAAATATTATATATCCAAAGGGCGCTGAGTCAGAGGATTCGAAATGGTTGTTGATAGTGCAACATGGACAACACAAGCAAGGTATTTTGGTAGAGGAGTGCGAAAATGAGGGCCGACCATGCGAAGAGAATAGTACCTTGCCGCTGAAGGATATTCCAAAATGTAAACAAAGTTTCACCTATCGTAAATTGGTTGTGTTGGTGAATGGCGTGATGAAGGAGGAAATGGTGAAATTGCCAAGTACCTGCAAATGTAGAATGTGCTCCACATAAAGATATATACCTAGAATATAAGTAATAATATTTAATTTAAAATAGTAATAAAAATAGACATTTTAATTAAAATGTATTAATGTTAAAATTTTAGCTTGCATTACGATATTATTATTTAGAACTTGCAAGAAGAGATATAAGATATTAAAAAATTAGTTAGTGTATTGAAACGCATGGTGTTTCAATATTGCTTTAAGTATGGGAATGTATGAGAACTGAATTAAATTCTTTAGAAAGGACAATAATCAAAGCGAAAATTTATTAAAACTCTTTTACTCGTCCATGTTGTCGACTCCTTAACAATTTATGGCTGTTTTATCGCCCAGAAACTCTCCGCTTTATTATGCGTTTAGTCTAAGAGTGACGAACACTCGCTGTCTTCGTTTATCCAAACATAAGAGAGAAGCGAATCGAACAAACTACAACAGATGTTCAAGCAAACAGACAGCATTCGCGATGCAACTCTGCGCCAACATATCTCCTGACGCTAGCGCAATTGTGTTGCGATCCTATCTTTTCCGCATTAAAGAACATTTTACTGACTCATCTCCTTTTTTTTCTATGAACAATAATAATTTATTCAGCTTTAAGTTTTAAAAATCAAACAAATAAAAAACAAACAAAAAATTTTATTTTCATTTTTGAGATTAATTTGCATTTCAGCCATTCACAATGGTAAAACTTATAATTTATTTATTTAGTTTTTAAAAACCTTGAGCCATTCACAATGATAAAACTGGCATAAAATATACAAAACCAAATTTGGTTGCATTGAAGATAGCGGCTATACAACTTTAATGAGGAAACCGCATTCTCTCTTTAAATTCTAAAAATATTCTGACAAGATAGCAGAGAAATGGCGCATTGAAGACAGCTATTGCATCCCAATATCAGAAAATCATACAGTACTGCCTTATTTGCAGTATTTTTTATTATAATCTCACTTTAAAATATGTGAATAAAAACGGTAAGATATTAATTTGCATGGCACTGAAAACTGTGCGATTTTTTTTTGAATTTTTTTTTAATGAATTCAATTAAAAATATATTGGTTTTTTCTGTGATTTCTCAATTAAAGTATGTTTTTATGCATAAGTTGCGAATTTGTGCACGAATTTATTATTTTTAAGTAATCCTTATTGATTTTGTTTTTGTATACGTATTTTAAACTACTTGCAAACACACTAGTTGTTACTACTAGTGTTGTAATAGTAGTGCGGAAGAGAAAAGACTTGCAACGATTTATTTAAATTTATATTTATATAATCATAGAAGAAACCGCTTACTAACGAACTAAGGCATCAACACCAGTATTTCAATTATCCATGTTATCCCGGTAAACAGCCTATAACGCTTGATAATTTTTCATTATCTGTTGTAAGATAACTAATTTTATTCTCAAAGTAACGATGTGTAATCAATTTTAGGGGACTACAACAGAATTTCAATGGAGATTAGGTTAGTTAAATAAAAAAAATTGTTATTAGACAAGAAGAACATTAAATTAAAACAATGTTATTATATAAAAAGCTTTGATTTTTATTTGAAATGGACATAATTTAAATACCTTTATAAGTTTAGAATCGAATTAGAGAGTTGTTGTAACTCGTTTGGAAAATTAACATTAGATATTATAGAAACTAACTAGTTGCTTAGTCATACTCTAGTCAATAGATAACTTTTGTGTTTTTCTGGACCTTCTGTTAAGTCGTCCCCGTTCGAAAACTGCCCTTTAATATAGAACTTTTGCTGACTTGACAGTGCGAGAGACAAAATGATCGCATTTCGATCTTTACAACTTGCGTGAGCTAAGAAAAATTAACAATACGTGTTTATAAAAGAAATACTCCAATTATTGCGTTCTGCCACTAAAATACCAATCTTCCCTCTCCTTAATTTTTTGGCAAAAATATGGCTGAAAATAAAAATAGCATACTTATTATAAAGTTTTAAATTTATCAGGAAGGTTTTATTATAGAAATCTACAGGTGTCGTTACAAAGATTTATCTTTTTTATGAAGAAGAGTTTACAAGTAATAATAACTTTTCCGCATTTCATAAGACAAATTTATCGTTACGATAGAGTGATCTGATGAATCGCTGTTATAATTAAGTTTGCTCCTCTCACATGAATACAGCTTCGTTCCATTGTCATCATCGGTATCGGTAAACAGCTTTTCATTAGAGAAGTTCAAATCATAGTATTTGCGAGCGGTATGAAAACAATTTTCGGTGGTTTCATCTTTATCACTCAATGGTACTGGTACTTTAGGCTGCGCACATGTTATCTTTGTAATCCGCTGGCTTTCAGATTTCGGTAACGTCGAATTGCTACGAATAGATTTTGAAGGTGCTATCAAATCTTCAAATTCCACCTTTTGGTTTCGATTGCTTTTAGATTTCGTGACAGTTGAATGGCTACGAATCGATAGTGTAGATGCTATGGGAACTGCAAATGTCACTTTCTTCTTCCGCTGGCTTTCAGATTTCAGTAAAGTCGAATTTCTACGAACCGATTTTCCAGGTGCTATCGAATCTTCAAATTCCACTTTTTTGTTCCGTATGTTTTCAGATTTCGAGAAAGCTGTATGACTACGTACCGATGGTGCTGGTGTTATTGCATCCACAAATGTCACCTTTTTGTTCCGCTGGCTTTCAAACTCAGTTAAAGTCGATTTGCTACGAGGCGAAGGTGCAAGTGCCTCCGAATCCGCAAAGTTCATTTTTTCGTTCTGCTTACTTCTAGATTTCGTCAACATTGATTTGCTACAAAGGTTCATTTCGAAATTATCAAGAACATCTTGACGTTTCACTGTCTTCTTACTGCGCGTTCGCTTCCTCAAGACGTTGTATGATGGAGAGCCCTTGAGGGTACTGAAGCTTTTTTCTTCAAATGCGCTCTGCCATGGTGAATAGGTTGGGTCGTACTTTTGACGTTTGTTTGGTGGCTGGGTAGTTCGGGCGTTGAAAGAAATGTTTATTGTAGCTGGTGGACCAGTGCAGACTGGTATGTCGTAAAATGTGGAATAACATCCCAGAGGTACTTCAATATATTCTTTGCGATACTCAAATGACGGTGTTTGGGTACAAGCATCATGTCTTCTTGATTGCATTCCTCCCATGTTTAATTTAAAAAACATTCGTAATACTGCGGAAAAATAACGGAGTACTCCTCGATGTGATCATACGTTGTGAAATTATAGAACTTGACTAAGAGAACGGTGAAAAGTTGTTACCGTTTTATACAAAAAATATTGTTCCTTGGTATTAGTTTTTTAAGGATGACAGGTACAGGTAGCTTAAATTGATAACCTAAATTCACAGAGACAAAATTTAATTCTTATCATTGTTTTTCCACGAAATTAGGTGTTGACAATTTTACCTGTTGTCATTTGAGACAGAAATGTTAGAACTTAGGTAAGAATTTTGAGCATATATATATATATGCGGAATATTTTAATTAATTTTTGTAGGGAATTGATCAACTAAACAAGAAAAAGCCTTAACTGTGCCCGCACCGAAGCATTTAATACCCTTCATAAGTGCGTTTTTATAGCATAAAAGGGTATAGAAAGATCTTTATCTTGACTTTAATAGCTCACCTTGAATGACAGCTATATATTTTATTGATCCGATCTGAACAATTTGTTCGGAGATTGTTGCGTTGCTTTGGGCAATAATTTGTGCCAAATTTCGGAAGAATATTTTGTCAAATAAAAAAATTGCCATACAAGAACTTAATTTTTATCGGTCAGTTTGTATGACAGCTATGTACTATATTAGTCTGATACCGACGGTTTTAACAAACAAGCAGCTTTTTTAACGGGAATACTGGTTTTTTGAAAACAATATTTATTCACTCGCCTACATTAATATTGGTGCCTTCAAAATAGTCCACATTCGATATTACGCACTTATGCCAGCGCTTTTTCCAATTGTCTAAACACTAATATCTTTTTATACTCCCGCAACATGTTGCTACAGAGTATTATAGTTTTGTTCACCTAATGGTTCTTTTTCTCACCTAAACCCATTCTTCTCATATTTCTATGTTATAGTGCGAAAATGGGCGAAATCGGGTTACAAAAACGCCCATTTCCCATATAACACCATTTTACATTTCATCTGATTTTTTCACTTTCCACTATGCAAATCAAGCAACAATGATTGTATCGGGTTAAAACTTTGCGTGAATAATGCGTTTAAAGTATGCCACCTTGTGATTAAAAATTGTTTAAATCAAACCAAAACTGTTCAAGCCCCTAGGTACTGAATATGTGGACCCTAGTGCTTATAGTTGACTTTTTACCGAAAATATCGGTCAATGTGTAAGATATATCTTTGAAATTCATATAATAAATAAACATATGAAAATCTCGATAATAGTATGTTTTTGTGACAAAAATGGGTTGAATCGAATCAATACTTCATTTAATATACAATTTTGCGAACACATGACGTAATTTCCGGGCTTTGATCTTTTCAAGTTGTAAGAGTATAAAATGTTCGGTTACACCCGAACTTAGAACTTCCTTACATGTTAACGGTTAGGTTTACGAAAAACTCGTAGACCTCGTTTGAAGTGCATTAAATTTTTCACAAAATCTACAAATCGAAATATGTTTCCAAGTAATTAGAAGCGAGATATGAATTTTTCTCTGATAAAAAAAAATAAAAACCGTTAGGTGGAGGACCTTCCCGTTACAATTAAGTGCTCATAGTTGGAGAGCCTTTCTTAGAGTTGTCTATCAACCAATTTTTCAGAGTACTCAGCGAAAAACAAACATTATTTTCTTTCACCCACGCTTCATGGTACAAAAACATAAACTTGGAAAAATATGGTTAGTTCGATCATTAAGGTCTGAGTTGAACTATTTTCAAATATATCATGTCCGAAGTATGATTAAAGCAAATGGCGTAGTTTCTATTACATAACTGTCATCTAAAAGTGTTTTGAGTCTGCACCATTTGTCAGGATAACGTTATTTTTTTTTTGCTATACTTTTGGGCAATCTTTTATCCTCAAATTTTAACCCGTATAATAAAATGTTTCCAAAAATGATGCAGAGATAACTGTGACACTTTATAAGGCATATATATTTAAGATATTATCCTCATCATAATACGATTTTTTTATCTTTCTGACAAATCTTAAATGCTATACGATCGCAAAAAATTCAAACATTACTCTAGTACAGCCGAAATCAGTACTGCATTAAAATTTCCCCGAAAAGTATCCCTTCAGTCCCCTAAAACTAAATTAGCAAACAGTAAACCAACGTGTCTACTTTTATTCTCGCCAATTACAGTCTCAAATATTGGTGCCATTTTGACTAAAGAACTCCCTACAAGTTCCATGGATGTACAAAACTTTTTACGAACCAAGACGAATCACTCACGTACAAAAACTTATGACCCACAAGATCTTAAAATCTAAAAAAAAAAAATATCCTGATAACTTTCCACCAAAAAAACCACTTAAATCATCTAAACAAAAATGCAAGATTTTCATGAAATAAAATTGTACAATTAACACAAAGTTTCAAATTTATCACAGCTATATATTTTTTATTGGAATTTACAGGCTGTCGTTACAAAAAGTTGTTTTCTTTTATGAAAAAGACTTTACAAGTAATAATAATCTTTACGCATTTCATAGGAGAACTTCTTTCGGAGGTCGGATGTATCTGATGAATCGCTGCAGTAACTAAGTTGGCTGGACGTTTCCTCACAAGGGAATAGATTCTCTCCAATGTCATCATCAATATATTCAAATAGATTCTCGTTAGAGAAGTTGAAATCACATTCATTGAGAGGAGTATTAAAACAATTTTCGGTGGTTTCAACTTTTTCAGTCGGTGGTGTTGGTGCTACCAAATCAAAACATGTCTTCTGTGAAATCAGTTTGCATTCAGGGTTCGGTAGCGCCTCCATTTCGAGATTTTCACTAGGATCTTGACGTTTCACTATCTTTTTACGCCGCATACTATCTCTCAACTCGGAAAAGGATGGAAAGCCTTTGGAAGCACACTGACCGGTCACGACATCTAATATCTTCTGCGAAGTTGTATTTACCTCATTTATGGATAACTGTGTAGGTTGATGTCTTATCAAATTTGTAGTATCATGCTTTTGACGTTTCTGCGGTGGATTGACAGGTGTATATTTTACCGCAGCAGGTAGAGAAGCGCAGACCGGAATGTCATTAAATGTGGAACAAAGTCCCAGCTGTTCTTCAATATATCCCTTACGATATTCAACTAGGGGTGTTTGGGGATACGAATCGCGTTTGCTAGATTGCACTGCACCCATTTTTAAAAAAGTAAACTTTCGAAGATTTTCAAAAAATAACGGAGTAGCTCTTATGCTGTGAAATGACTGAACTTAACTAAGTAAACTCTGAGAAGTTGATACCTTTTTATACACAAAATTTAGTATTTTGGTATTGGTATTGAGGATCGCAGGCACAGGTAGCCTAAAGTTGTCGCTTTGTTAGCTTTAAGTCACAAGGTCATAACTGATTCATTTTCATTGTATTTCCATGAAATTAGGTGTTGACGATACTTGTATTACCGGCATTATGTTGTTTTTACAACAGAAGGGTTAGGTTAGGGTTTAGGTAAGAATTTTTTATACTCACGTATTTCTAACATCTAAGACTTGTCGAGATAGAAATATAATTTTCTATAACAAATTAGTCTGGACTATGTACGTGCATGCAAATGGAGTTTGGTATTGAAATGTCAAACTTTTAGCTGTAATTACCACACCTCAGCAATGACTCGACCGATTTAAACCTAATATCAATTATACACCAATTCGATTCATCTTTCACTTTGCAATAATTATATTAAAAATAAATATAGATCTTGGGATAGCACCATGTACAATTAAACCTTTCAATGTGTGTTACTTAAAAATAGTCTTTAACAGACCTTAAAACAGACTTTAGCTTTTCAATCAAATTGATATCATCTAAACTTCTTGAAATGTAAAAAAAACTTTAACTTCGCTTGCACCAGAGTTATAACACACTTCACAAATGACATATTGTATATTACATACAAGAACTGAATTTTAATTTTTTATAAAGGATCTATATGCTACATACTTTTTTTTTTAAAGAAAATTGAGCTAGCTAGTACGATTTCATTCACTTTTGGTATCATAAAGTCCTTCAGGAAGTAAGTCGAATTCAATTCATTGAGATGTACATGGTCTAAGCTTCATACATAAATGATTAAATAATAACATTTAATCATGAATTTGTGTCGGAATCAGAACAAATGAATAAGAATGAATATTCCAAATTACAGTAACAAAAATGTCTATAAACATTTGACTATGTTCTCATATACTTAGAACATATTTCATTATTAATTTAAAACAGTTTTGAATTTTATCAATAATATATATTATATATCGTGTCAGTTAGCGCCATCTATATGTTAAATTTACAGCAAATAACATCAAAGATTTTAATTTTGTAGTTAAGTATTATAAAAATGAACATAATCGCTATCATGTACAATATGTTCTAAATTATGTTTTGGTACAGTTTTGGTACCCACACAATTTCAAAAAAAAAAAAGTTGAAAACTTTATTAATTGAGAAATTTCACCTTAAGTTATATATTTCATTTTCATTTTGAATATGTCTTCACATCAATAAACATCCTTAAATTAACTAGCTTAATAGTGACACTTGTAAAAAAAATGCTTTAGATGTAGAAATAGAAATTGTTTTGTTTTTTTTAGGTCTACACAAATATGTCAAAAACTTTTAGAATTTGATTTTTATTTTTCGCTTACCAAATAAGAGTTATTTGATAACAGTTATTTATTGCTCACCGAATAATAGTTATGCGGTGAGTTTTACTTAACTCTTACCCAATAAATTTTGAAGAGTAAACTTTTTGTTTTGCCTGCACAAATAATATTCTCACGGAAAGCAATTATTTGTCAAAGCAAAACAAAAAGCTTATTCTTCCAATCTTATTGCGTAAGAGTTAAGTAAAACTCACCATATAACTATTATATATGAATAATAAATAACTGTTGTCAAAGAGCTCTTATTTTGTAAGCGAGAAATAAAAATCAGTATATTTTGTGAGAAAAAAATATAATTTGAAAAATAATTATTAAACTTGATTTCCATTTATTCTAAACTGTTAAAATGTGCAATAAAGGTCATTATAAATTGTTTCAAGGAATGTATGATAATACACATGAATCGCACAATCTCCTCAATTCTGGGAAATATGTACCATAGATACATATTTTGGGCATTCCATAAACAAAGAAAAACATATGTAAAACATTAACCAAACAAAAATTAAGAACATTTTCAAAAACACCTTTAACAATACACCAGGTAGCAAAATATTCGGACAGTTACAGATTACTATACAGATAAACAGATCCACAGACAGACAGATATGGCTAAATCGACTCAGCTCGACATTCATATATATATTTCTTCTGGATGTTACAAACTTTATCATAAATATATAGAATAATAAACAGTTACAAAATACAAAAAAAAGTTAAAATACAAAAAGATATATTATTTTAACATTATTATCATTACTTTACAAGTAAGGCAGGTAGATCTTATAAATCACTGTAAACACTTAGTTGGCTGGACGTCTCCACACATGGATATATATTCTCTCCAACATCTAAATCAATATAGTCAAATACATTCTCATTCGAGAAGTGGAAATCAAAAACGTTGAGAGCAGTATGAAAACAATTTTCGGGGGCTTCAACTTTTTCAATCGATGGTGCTACAGCTGTCACTGAATCTACACATTTCTTCTTTGTATTCAGTTTGCAATCTGGTTTCGGCAGCGCTGATGTGATATGAAATTTTATTTCGAAAATTTCACTGGCGTCTTGGCATTTCACTGTCTTCTTACGGCGCATACTTTCTCTCAACTCTGTAAATGATGGGAAGCCTTTGGGAGTACACTGACCGGCCACAGCATCTGTAATATTCTGCAAAGCTGCATCATCTTCTTTTATGGGTAAAAGTGTACGTGGGCTGCGTGCGTTTTTATCTTCAAATGCGCTCTTCCATATGGAATAAGTCGGGTCGTACTTTTGACGTTTCAACGGTGTTATGATAGGAGCAGTGCAGCTTGATATGTCGTAAAATGTCGAACAGCGTCCTAGCGGTTCCTCAATATATGCTTTTCGATATTTAACAATTGGTGTTTGGGAGTATGAAGTGCGTCTTCTAGATTGCATCCCACCCATGTTAAAGATAAGTAAATCTTAAAAAAAAAACTCCGAAAAGGTAATGGAGTAGCTCTCGATGTGATCTATGCTGTGAAATCACTGAATTTAACTAAGTGAGCTCTGAGAATTCATTACCTTTTTATACAAAAAATTAAGTTTTTTGATATTCGGTTTAGAACTCGTGTTAAACCCAACTCACTCAGACAAAACTTTTGTACATTAAAGAATTTAGGTGTAGACGATTATAACTGTTCTGTTATTTAGAACAACTCAAAGCTTAAAATTTAGGTAAAAATTGTTCAGCATATGTTGTTATTAGTGGCAATAAACGTATAACAAAAGAAACCGACAACGAAAACCCTTTTTTAAGTGAGAGTTCAATAATATAGAATAATGAAATATCCCGAATATATTCCATTATTTGTTTTTTTTGGAAATTTTTAGTTAATAGACTGAATATACATATATAGAATAGAATAAAAAGATGTAACATATGCATATATATGAACTTTAAATATTAACACAAGGATATTTCTGGGATTTCATCCAATTTCGGCACCGAAAGACACATGCTTCACAAAACAGGTCGACTTAGGTCCACGTAATTTAAACTAATATGGCATAGAGTCAAACTAAAGAACTTTATGTCCTTGTGTATATGACAATTAGAGTAAATTATCGACCTTATTCTATCTTCATAAACATAATTTTATGTGTTCAAATCGACCAAAAATCTCGCGACAGGGAGTTCTTTAATTTGCGGTAACAAAAATTTTCCAAAATTATACTATTTTCACAGTGGCCTTATTTAGAAACAGAGAATGAGGAACTTATTTTATCAGAAATCAAGACCCAAAGAACAAACAAAGAGTATAGGATCTAAATTTTATCGATAAAAGTCGAAAAGTTTGTCATTGAGCGCCATCTGTCAGTTAAATAAAGAACCAATCAAATTTTGCAGTTAAAAAAATACTAATTTATGATTTCAAAACAGATTGAGTATTACATACGCATATTATTTCAGGTTGCAGTTTGAACATAATTTACATACGGAAATATATATATGTTAATTATCTTGAAGATTTGAAATGAATATATCTTACAATTTTTACTAGAAATATGCCTAGATGTAGGCAACATTTTACACGTAATTCGGTGGTGGCTTCAAACTTATCGAATATTTGCAAAATTATTTACATCGTATATAAGTGGGAAGTTTAATCCAAAGCCAGAAATAACCTTTTCCCAAAAAAACTTCATCTCTACTTTATGCAAGTACCAGGTATCTCTTTGAACCAACATTTCGTATTAATAACTACAAGTGAAATATTTTAACAATTTAATTATTTTCTTAAGGTTTATGCAACGGGATTGTATAACATATGGTACTCAATTGTATAAACTTCTCAAACTTAGAAAATAAATATCCACAATACACTAACAATAATTAATATATGTATGCCATTAGCGAAATAGTAGTGGAAACCTTAAAACTTTCAAGGACACACCCAAAAAAGTTTCTCATATGCAACAGGTAGCAGGTAAAAAGTAAAACATATACATATGTGGGCGGAAAATAGAAGCACTAGATTCTTTTCTTTTTCATTTTTTAGAAAACTTCTTGGAAATGAAAAACAATTGAAAAAGAAAAGATTTGTGGGAAGAGTCAATTATCGGAAATCCTCAAATGTCAAAGATAGGTCAGCTATTTTCCACCCCACATTTAGATTTGACTCGCAATTCCTCTTTGCCACAAAATTTACAACAACAAATTTATCGCGTTCAATTGGATGCAAGAGAGTATGTGGATATCTCTTTACAATGTTATAACCCTAGTTATCTTCAATGCTAGCAAGTTTTGTTTCGTTATTTGTTTATCTATTGTGAAAGGCTCAAATAAGAAATTATTGTCGAAAATAAAAATAACGTCAACTTCGGTTGTACAGAAACTACAATACCCTTCACACGTACAAAAAATTCCTTACAAGAACTGCGATCGATCAGTGTTTATGGCAGTTATATGCTATAGTGACTCGATCTGAACAATTTTATCGGAAATTGCCTTAGACGATAACTCATGCCCAATTTCGCGAAGATATCCCGTCAAATGAAAATTTTTTCCATACAAGCACTGTATTCAGTTCGTTCACTTTGTATGGCAGTTATATGCTATGGTGGTCCGATATGGGCCGTTCCAACAAGCAGTTTCTTGATGAGGAAAGAGCGGGCGCAAAGTTTCAGATCGATATCTCAAAAACTGAGAAACTACTTCGCATATACATATACAGACAAACGGACATGGCTAAATCGACCTAGCTTGTCACACTGTTCATTTATGTATACTCTTTAGGGGGCCTCCGATGTGTCGTTTTGGGTGATTGATTTCAAATACAGTTATATTTTTAGGGTTATCAAAACTATTTTTTGGCGGGAAAAGTAAAGATTCTCTAAAATTTCTCAAAGAAGCGCACTAAAATTGCGCATGCGTCAGCGGTTAGTTGCACTGCAAATGTGTGTTAGTGTTGCCACTTTGTTTGACTTTCCCCTAATCAAATCATAAAACGGCAGGGAATTTAAATAAATCTAAGAAAGCTTGAGAAGAAATGTAATTCTACAATATGAAAATATACACAATTTAAGTATGGTGTAATTTTATTACTTGAAATTTTACAGTTATAAATTATTTTTCACTACAATAAATAAGACGCGATGATCGCTATACAATTAAAAGATATAATAACATCCGCCCAAATCGTGTATGTCAATGAAATGCCGCTGATGAACCGTAGATTCCCAATTAGAGGAGCTTCTTTGGTGGTTTTTGAAAATCAATCGTTTTGGTTGTTTTTTCAATGCAATGTGCATTTTATTCGCTACACTAGCTTTCTCCGCGCTTTGCTGCTTCTGGTCTACCAGCAAGTTTTGAATTATCATCGGTTGCTCCATTGGCATTTTGCATACAAAAGATGCTTGAATACCATGCGACCTATCCTCGTGTATGCCCTTGGGAACGTCTTTCATACAAATTTCCTTCTGGACTTCATTATTGTTATTGCTAAGCACCGCCTGCTGACTTTTATTGGTGTTTGTATCTGAAACAATCGATGTTGTTGGCGTGCCTAATAGTGGCTCTTGGCTGCTGCGCACTTCGTAAGGTACTGCTTCATGATCTTTATTAGCGACTGTATGTGGAATGATGGATGTTGATGACACGCCTAGCAATGGTTTTTTGCTGCTAATATCCTCGTAATCACTGAAATCCTCATTGTAGCTCATACACTTTTTATTTATGGTGTAGTACGGGAAACCCTTGGGTGTTTGTTGACCAGCTAAAACACCTGTGATATCGTAGATTCGTCTGTTCTTTCCTTTTATGGGTGGTACCTTACGTGGTGCGCGCAAGTGTGTATTTTCAAAACCGTTCTTCCAAAGAACATATACTGGATCATAATTTTGACATGTACACTCTTTTATTGGCTTTGGACGATTGCCATTATAAAGAAATCGCGCTCTGGCTGTAGACACCTGATAATATATATCGGTAAATGTGGAGCAACGTCTCATCGTTGAATTATTTTGGCTCGTGTCCAGTTCGAGTAATTCTATGTCACTTGTATTACTATGATCCTTAGATTGCATGCTGCCCATGATTGATTTGTGATTATGTTTATTCTGTATGAAATATCCTTAGGTTCTCCAGTTGCGTTGTGTATGTATCTGATTTTCAGCCTTAACTGTTTAAGTTTTCAAAAATTCTCACCTTTTTATATCTCAGCCAGAGCATTGCTACGTAAAATTTAACATATCTAAAGTCAGATCATTAAGTACGAAGCGCACAGGTAGCACGCGCCCGTCTGCAGTCTGTCTTGAAACTGCGAAATAATAAAGCAGTGGGTTTTCCTAGTAACCATTAAAGCCCGGGCGTCAGCAATTTGTACCTGAATAGTTGTGTGTAATGATTCTGTCTGGAAATTTTGTACGGTTTATTTGCCTAAACATGGAAATGTATTAAATGTTGTACGGTGAGCAGATGTCTCGATTATTTGAAGTGAGAAACTTCTAATAAATGCGGGGTATGTCAAAAAAGAGAAAATAATCGAAAAATACTATGTTATATGTACGCAGTTTTATGGATGAAGTGTCTCGAGTACACATTGCTTTCATTCAATCGATGGAAATATTATATATTATAACTAAGTTTTATATTGGAAATTAAGTTTTCTTTAACGAGAGCGATCTATGGTAAAAACACTTATACCAGAGAATATTCATTAATATTCTCTGATATAAGTACATACATTAGAGCGGGTACATTTTTTTCTCTTTCAAGCGCCTATGCGGGAAATATTCAATACGGTCCATTCTGAACAATTATGTCTAAGAGAATATGGGTCTAAAGCCGGTTTCGAGCCAGCGATTTTTAAGGCGAAGTTTATCTTTTAAGGATTCTAAAAATTTCTTCGTCAGTTTTTGAGATATGCGAGCGTAATTCAATACATACAGACATGCATTTTGATATTATATTGATCATCTGTTGGATTCGGCGAGATCGGACAACAATATATATATCTACCATACAACCGATTATTCAGTTATTTTATTTTCCGGTATCCTGCCTTTAATTAAAAAGCTAAAACTACGTAATTTTGCAGAACTGTTCTCTAATACATGCTAAATAATGACAGTGAAAATAAAAAAAATTGGACAACTACAACATATCTCCCATACAAATTTCTTTTATAATATCATTTAATTGAGCTTGGCAGAGGTTGGAAATATTTCAATTCTCCCAACCTAAAGCAGACAACAATGGACCGCTCTCTTCATAGATTTCAAATTGCGAGATTTCGTAGTTAATTGGATATAATTTGGGAACTACAAAAGATGTGATGCAAAATTTGACATTTTGAAGACGCAAAAGAGTTCCACTAGATATTCCTACATATAGTTGTTTCAATAGAATAGGAAAGAAGAACTCTGGAATTCAACGTTGGGATTCAGACTTTGAAAAAGTATCATATCTTATTGTACAATTTTGGTAAATTTTGGTTGACTGAGGCCTCTTCTTCAACAAGAAACTTAATAATATGTTTGACAGAAGATTGTACAAGAGTACCACCATATATATTATATTATATATATATAGGTGTTAGGTAGGTAGGTAAAGTGGCTGTCATTCGACACACTTAGGCCTTTAGGAGGCCCATTGTGATAGGTGTTAAAATAATGTTTTAAATGTTCAAATTTGAGTGATTGAAAAGACTCCCATAACCACTTGGAAGTGATTAAAAACCTGTGAAGTTCTATACCATATCTAAATTGGAGGAGTACAATACACTCCTGTGTAAATAAGTAAGCCCTTACATCAACTTCAATAAAGCTACAAAAAACTCCGTCCAGTACTGCCCTCAACAATTAATTTATTTCAATCAACTTAATCGCACTGCATGCTCAGGAAAAGTTTTGCGCTTAGTATTCGTAACTTCCCCGCAAGTCAATCACTTAAGTAAGCTACAGCTCGATGAACTACTCTGACACTTTGCCAACATCAATAGATAAATAGATATCGATATATATGTGAGTATGCAGTTGGTTTTAACTAGAACTTCACCGATGGTGTCCAGTTATAATGTGCATTCTGTGTACACAGTTCAGTTGAGGTGAGGTGAAGGCAACAGCAAAGTAACACAACAAAGTCATTATTAGAAAGTGCTCGAAAGGACGCACAGCACAGCGTCATTAATGCAGAAAAGTAGCAACAAAATCTTACTTCTCTGTGATTATTTTTAGTACCGCATTATGGAGAAAAATGGAACACAGCTCGATGAATTGTAGGCTTCTCATGGCGAAAGAAACCTACGACTCAACAAATGTGCTGCGGAGTATAGAGCTGTATTGGTGGGATAGCTGTTTGATATAGGTGATGTGCTACGTACTATGAAGGAGACTAATGTTAAGCTAATGGAAATGCCTTCTTATATATAAGTTTCTTTTAAAATCTGTAAGTGTTTAGATAAGTTTTAAAAGTTTATTCACACGTTGATAGTTATGAAAACAAATTATGGGCATAAATAAACGAAACGTCAGCATACTTTGATACTGCTGATCAACCGTAGAAAAGTTCCCAAAAATTAATAACAAACTCCACCGTAGTATAAAGAACGTAAAAGTTACCAAAAATTCAATGATTAGCTTTTATATAGGGGGTGCAATAATATGACTTCCGGCTATAAATCTGGGTAAACACTCAGCCGTGACAAAAAACAAGCCGAAATTCAATAATTAACAAAGGGAAAACTTGGTAGAAAGTAAGCAATCTAGCGTCACACTAGCAAACTTCTATGGTACTATAAAGGTGGATGATCCATCAACTGTGCATATCTTCACTTTGCTATAGGCTCGAAACCTAAATATTTTGCTCGCTTTTTAATTCTCTACATACAACTCTCTTCTTCTCTATTGACACAAATACACATTGTTTATTGCAGAAAACATGATGAAAATGATGATCAATATGACAAATAAAAATTTTAATAAATTAAATAATTTAATTAATAAAAAGTTTTATTTTAATATATATCTTTATTATCTCTGCTATTATAAGCCTCGGCTCA